GATGAGGAAGCTGGCGATGAGGAAGCTGGCGATGAGAAGCTGGCGATGCCGAAGCTGGCGATGCCGAAGCTGGCGATGCCGAAGCTGGCGATGCCGAAGCTGGCGATGCCGAAGCTGGCGATGACGAAGCTGGCGATGACGAAGCTGGCGATGACGAAGCTGGCGATGACGAAGCTGGCGATGACGAAGCCGGCGAAGACCCCGACTCCTCAGCAGCACTGTGACTGCCTTTATGGGCCTCCTCTGGTAGAGGTCCCTTAGGATTCAAACCGTCACCAACCCTCTTTTCTCCAGGTTTCAGCTTGGAGGCAATCTCCCCATCATTCCCCAGCGTTGTGAGTGGTCCCTCAGCAGCCGGTGTTGGAAGTGGGACTTTGCTGGCACTGAGGCTCGTGAGCCTATCAGCATGAAGTGCCTCGTTGTACAGCAGGACATTGCCCACAGTCACGTCAACCTCGCCTGCCCCCTTCGCACCGTCGCCGCCAACGTAGAAGCCCGAGACACCGCGTGAGGTGGACGCAGGGCGCACATCATCCTCTTCAACAATCTTATTCCCGTCAATGTACACCCAGAAATTACGTGACTGCTTTTTCAGTATCACCTGATACGTTGTGCCAGGCCACCACATACCATCTTTATCTGGCAACTCCCGAGACTTTCCATTGACAGTCACTCCCCACTTATTGTCCTCCGTGTAGAACAGACCAACAAACACAGTGCTGGCATCGTCGTTCATCCTCACACCCATCAAAGGGGTGTCTGCCTCCGACACCGCGTTAATCATCACCGTCGCCACAAGAGTGAAGTCATTGTTCACAAAGTAGTACGGCTGGAATTGCCCCTTGTTGCCCACCGGCCACTCCGCCCCCGCTGCTGCGCCTCGGAACCTCACAACCCCCTCCGTGCCTGCCACATTCCCACCATGCACCGTTGCGTTCACTCCGAGGTATTCGTCCTTCCATAAATTCCCCTCCAAACTGTTGGACCAAAAGCCAGCCAGCCTTTTGGTGGGAACAACACTTTTACACACATTCTTTATCCGCGGGTCAACAGTGCCAGTGGAAACGCAGTTTTTGAGTGCGGTGTCCATATCTTTCCAAGCCTTCACCATGCTCTTTATCCGCTCCAGCTGCTCAGTCAGGTTCACGGCGACAAGACTGTATGAATCTCCGCTCTTCTTCTCGTACAGTAAAATCAACTCCTTCTTGTCGGCTCTGTACAGCAGGGAGCTGGCGGCGGCGTCATCACCTTCGCGAGATACCGGCCCAACGTCGTGCACACGGGCATTGTCTGTCACCCAAAGATGCAGCCGACCCTCTCCCTTCTCCTCAGTATACACCGGCGTGGTGAGCAGCATCACCTTCTTTCCATCAATGGTTGCAGTGATGAATCCACTTCGCACGCCCTCCCTTTTTCTATCACGTGAGTTTCCCCACACGCGGGAAATTGGCGTACCGTCAGACCAATAATCAAAAGATACCAAAGACTTGTACACATAATAGGAGCCATCCGTGCAGGGAGCCATCATAAAGATGCGTCGGTCATAGACTTCGCCCCACTCCACAATCGATGGATTGTGGCAACCCTCACCCTCCGTATCGACTACAGGTGTCCATCTATTCCATATCGGGGTGAAGCGCACGACCAGCAAAACGTTCTTTCCACTCTTTGTGGCCTGCAAGGGAAACACAACTGTGCCGTCACCCATCACAGCACCCGACCCTCCGACAGCAGATAAATGAGTCAAGGATCCACGAACTCTAGTGTCAGGATACATTGCATGGGTCTCACCCCACCGGACTTTCTTCTCTTCAGCCTCAGTGACACTCCCCTTCACCAGCAAAAGCTTGCATCCACTTCGATCAGCCTCTTTGGTCTCCGGTGTTGCACGGCTGCAGCTTCTCAGCAGTACATATACATTGTTGCCACTCACAATTGTCGTTGGCCGCATTGTGTCCTTCATTCCCTTGTCACCTTCCTTCAGCAGCTGCGTGTGAAAGGAACCTGTGCCTGTACCCATTGGAATCTCAGTCGGTTTTGATCCAATTCCCTTCAGGTGCCGCGACACGATGCCAGTGAAGCTGTCAACTCCATTCTTGCACTGGGCCTCAGCAACGGCAAACACAGCACCGTCCACCTCCACAAGGCTGGGGACACGAAGCGAGCGAACTGACCCTTCGGCGCATTGCATTTCCTCCCACTTGGCACCAGTTATCGGTGTCGTCCCTGTAAATAAATTAATAGCCGTCCCTGGGGCACTCCCCGCAGCTTGACTGCCACAGCATGTCAATAGCACAAACAGCAGCAGAAGCACCGAATAAGAAAGCAAATACCAGGACATCTTGGGCATGTGTCGCTGCTCACTCATTCTCTCTTCGCTCCGCGCAGTGGACCCACTCAGGCCGCGACAGTTGTGTGTGTGTGTGTGTTGCTGGTGGTGACTGCAGAGCCCTTCAATGTGCACAGCAGCGAGTAGCGTTTGGTCTCTTTCCTTCCGAGCGCGTTGAGGAAAAAAAGAAAAAAGAGGTGAAACCAACGAAAAAAAGAAGATACAAAAAGCATTGAGAACGCGTAGTCGTCCAGCGGCAAGAGTCACGGCTCACCCCCAGCCACGCACGGAATAAACCCATCCACATCCACAAAGAAGCAAAAAAAAAAAAACTCTCCCACGAACCCACACAGCGGAGAATGAAAAATTAAAGTAAAAAACGATGCATAGATCAAGTGGTCTTAGAAAACTTTGTACATTGCCTGCAGCAAGTGATGTGCATCAACTTTATTACCCACGGGACAGACGCAGGCCCAAGCATCACTGACACTTCATTGAGGCTTTCACCGTGCTGTTGCACCTCTCAAATATTTTTTGTTTGTTTCATCGGTCGTGGCGCACAGTGCCGTCGGAGCGCTTCATAAACGGG